TCACTTTTCCATTCCATTCCATATACCGACTGAAAGAGGCAAGTTCCCATATTATCCAGGTTTTTTAGGGCCTACTTGAGCCAATAATGCGCTATCTTGGACATTATCGCGAACATTTAAACCATTGCACATTCTAGGCCTTTTTATTTTCAGTAACTCGCACAAGCTGCATGGGATGCTACAGAAGCTTACCCAAGAATTAAGTCAGCGCATCGGAAATGGTGTTGACAACATATTGATGATGCAAAACACCGGGTACAACTCGTAATCAAATTGTAGGTTTTAACTTCTGTTAAAAGTTAGTCAATCTCGGCCAGGGAGCTGAAAAATGTGTCACATTCTTCAACCACATATCGATATTCTCTTCAGTACCACTGTGCTACCTGAAATGACGTGGCATATGCGAAACATGGTAACTGACGAAAATCGTGATGAAGAGAGCAGTAGAGTGACGGATGACTCAAGTGTTTACAAGCAATCAGCCTCCAGATCAGCGGAGTATATGGGGCCAAGTAAACAGTGTGGAATTCGAAGGTGGGATACATTGCTCATCTTGAGGGTGGTGAACGCCTCTGATTAGCGAGCGCTGTCGGCGAGGAAGTAAGCACTCACGCAGGCCATCTCCGAATGAGTAGCTCAAATACATTCAGCTGAGGTTCAGATCGGAGGATCCTGGTATAACAATGGTCAATGCTTTCCGGTCGAACACGGTAAGCAGGGCTGAGGCTCGTGCGCGCTACTGGACCGCTTCGTTTTCCACCTTTTTGCATATTTATGCAAAAACGCATATTGACAAGAGGTTTTCTGTGTGTGTGTGTGTGTGTGTGCGTGTGTGTGTGCGTGTGTGTGTATGTATGTGTATGTGTACATATGTTCGCACTTTCTCACTTTCAACCCGAAAACCAGTGGAGTTAGAACAGTGGAACTTCCGAAGCATGAGCCCACCCCATATGCGATCCTCTTGCTTTAATATCATCATTCACGTACGTTTGGGTTTCACGTACACCTGAATGAATAAGTGTAAATTTTTTGAAAGGAAAGCAATTTTGGGAAGCAGACAAGATAGAAGACTGAAATTTTAGATGGAACGCGTTATGCTGTGTTACTGTGTTATCCAAGTGAGCTGTGTTATTTAGTATTCGTAACAAACGCACGGTTGCCCAGTAAGCAGTGGTTCTACCACGAACTTTACATTTGAAGGTTGGTGCGCGATATATAATCACGTATAACCTAAACACCAGCAATTACCTAACAAACGGTGCGACTGGACGACAAATCAAAATAGATATGGGAATGCCAGGACAGGGACTAAATGATGCACTAAAACAGTTACGTATTTGTATCATGTACAACGAACCGAATATGGGTATGAAGATGCGCAGGAGGTTCAGCGGTATAAGCATCCGCTTACAGCACCCACGAAGATACATAGGAGATTCAATGACCTGGACAGCGCTGGGGCCAAAGGCAGTAACGATTAAACTTAACAAAGCGTCAAATTAAAGTACTACGCAAAAAATTTTCACTGGTAACGACAATGGCAAGAGCAATTCACAGTAGCCAAGGTCAAACATATTCGTCCGTCAAAATCATCCACACAGCACAACGTTTGTCTGGTGCTTTGCTTTATGTCACGACTTCCAGAGTCACATCGCTTTCCGGACCGTGCATATTCATCGAATTCAACACTCCTCGACAACAGCAGGTCAAAGATCTGCTGCAAATTGAGCTGAGAGAACCGAAGCAATGCTTAGTGTAGCCCGTTACATTCCCAAGATTATAATTTTTTCGAACGGAACGTTACACTCCCAAGATTATATGTTACAGCCAACCAAGCAGAGCTTCGCAAAGCGTCGTGATCAGATCGAGAAAGATGTTGCTTACAAAACGAGCGATATCATAGTTCTTGGAGAGACTTGCACACTGCCAGCAGACGTAGTAATCATCAGCGATTCGGTTGCAGGAAGCGGCTGCTTTGGTGCGGCAAGGAAAGCCTCGAAGAATCTGCTTGGTGTCCAAGAGGCTAATGAACAGTGTGTACGATGCGATATCAGTAAAAACTGGTGTAAGGAAGAAATCTATAAACGTTGCTATCGTCAAGTCTGACAGTGTGCTCACTGCGTACATTTATCCCAATCCCGATATAAGGAGGAACAGTATTTGCTCGCCTTTAATAGGTTGCTGAATGGAGCAAAGCGAAAAAATTATACTGGGAGATTTCAACAACAATTTTGCCGAGGCAGCAAGCCCCGCTTTCAAGGAGTTGATGCAAGAGACTGGCTAACAAATTAGGATGTTAATGTAGCAACGACAACTGCAGATCGAATTCTTGGCCTCGATATCATGCACGATGCATTTATCGCATTAGCAAGTTTTTTTAAAACGGTCTGGGCACTGTATGACCCAAAAAACTGTTTAAATGCAAATTTATTTTATAGGGATAGCGATAAAACTTAAACCACGATTAGCAACCTACTTCGAATTTT